CCCCCCCCCCCCCCCCCTTCTTTTTCAAAAGTGAATTGTCTGCGTAGAGGAGTTAGCCTTTTAGATATTGGGTGTTTGTGCATAGGGACAAAAATACAATTCTCCAGTAATCATCCACAGACTGTTGTAGGCTGTAGTATTTGGAATGATTGCAGTATAACTTAGAATGTAATTTTTGTTAGAGGGAGGTAGTGTGTGATGCACTTTCTGGAAATATAATTTGCTATTTTGGATTCAATAACGCTGTTTTGGAGGGTGGGAGAGTTGAATGATTTTCTTGTTCTTTTACCCGAAACTCCCTAATGTTTTTAATGTCCTGCTTCTCCTGGGCAAATACTTCTATGTTAGCTTCCCTCTTCTTCTCCCGTCCCCTTCTTCTCTTATTCATGTGTTTTGACAAACACAAAATGCCTTCCAATCCTTAGAGAGCTGTACTCCATCATTAGACTGATGTTTCCTGCCTCTCAGTTTTTATTTATGTGGATCTGAAAACGTGTAGCTCACTGACACCCCACACTGGTTTTGGTTCTTCCCATCTTACATGTGCCATGCTGGCTCTTGTTTGATTTTTCCTTGTACTCTTCCATGGAATTAAAACATTTTTAATACAGGATGTCTGAAACAATGAGCATAAATGAGGAGAAGAAGAGACCTCCTCTGAATGGGAGAAGAGCCCTCCCATCAAACAACTCCAATGATGAAGAAAATGAGGTCCCTGAGATGGAGGCTTTTGGATTGCTACCTAGAGGATTTAATCCAAAAGGTACAGTGTACAATTAAGTCATGAGTCTATTTTTACATCTTCAATACTCAGCTCTGCTCAGGTCTGTGAATTAAAACCAAATCACTTTTTTCCTTACGTGTTTTGTTCTCAGATAGCTTTTATTGCTGCTCATGAAAAAAACTTGCTAAAAACACCAATGTACATGGAAATGTTACCGCAGGTTATGGGAGGGCAAAGTGAGGAGTGGAGAAGCTGAGTGACCAGTTTTCAGCTTGAACTGTGGGAGTGGTTAAAAAAAGGCAAGAATGGGTTTTCCCAGTTAGATCACAATCACCGAGTCACTTTAGGACCTGCTGTCTTCAGGCATGGCTGTGGCAGCACTGGGGTGAAGGGTTCAGGAGGAGCCTCTCTTCTTGATGGTCCTTCTGGTTTGTACAGCCTTAAACTGACTGTGAAACTACTGCAAAATGCAGTCTGGCAGGGAAAACTTTTGGTAGATGTTCAGCTCACTCATAAAAATGAATGCGAAACTAAAAGGAATCCCCATATTTTTAATTATTGTCCTGTGAAAAGTGTTTCAATTGTTTAACTGGGAAGACTAAACAATATTGTGGTAGGGGATGGGCAAAACAAACCATATGCTCAGTGCCAACTTTTTGGAGTGAACCTGAAAAAAATAGGTAAGATTTGGTTTAAAGGAAATTAGAATTGGCTTCTGAATGAGTCACCAACCAAATGACGTTAATTTTTTGGCCTATTTGAAATGAAGAGCGGAACTTGTTGAATGTGACAACTCAGGGTAGCCATACGCAATAATACTTAACGCTCATATGGAACTTTTCATCCAAGCATTAATTACTGCATTTTACACAGAGGGAAACAGGCAAAAAGATTTTAAGCGACAAGTTCAATTTTTTTTATTGCAAAGCATTATTTCTGGAATCCTAACCTTGTGCCTTAATTGCTTTAAAAATAATTTATTTTAAAAAATGCCTGAACAAACCAACTGGCATGTTAAGACTGTAGTAACTTTGGTTGAACCTTTTCAAACAACCCTGTAGCTCTGGGGCAAGTAAGTGTGCTTAAATTGTCAAATGTAATGCAATACAGGTCCTGACTGTACATCATTTCAAACTCAGTATGCTCACAGAAGCTGGTGATGTGTAAGAGTGTGGGATACCTTAGAAGGAATGCAGCCTGTAGCTAAAGCCCACCAGTAGCAGGAGAAAGATTCCTATTGCTTTTTGATGTGCTTCACATCGTGCTCTGAATGAAGTGCAGTGCTGGTGGGCGGGAGCCTCTTGCTTTTCAGAAATGCAATGGGAACAGGAATGTCAGGTTAAGTGAGTTGAGGCAGGAACCCAACATGTGCTTAAGGTGGTGCTGCTGGTGAGAAAAAGAGCCCTTGTCCAAAGCAAGAGTTTGTGTGGCCATAGGATAAACCTGGCTATGGGACTGGTACGGCCAAAAAATAAAAACTGTGCATAACAGCAGAACTCCTTTTGTACATCTGGATCAGCTCTGCTGTGCAGTTCAGCTCTGCAGTGTTTGTAGCAACAATGTGCAAGGGGTGACGTGAAGGGAAGGGACTGCAGCAGCATTCCTATTTCAGTGCACATCAGCTGTGATCTAGGTCTGTGATACCAGCTGATGTAAGCATGGTCCCTGGACACGGTTTTGAGGCAGGATGCTTAAGTCACCTGTCAGACCGTGTTAAAGGTTTAGAACCCAATGGAGCTCAGACTGGGGTTTGCATTCAGGGGCTGAGCCTGCCCAGAGCTCTCACAGTGTTTTGCTTGGGGCATAAAGTGAGTGGCTGCAGGCAGATCGGGAGCAGCAGAGTATGATGGGCCTCTAGCAGCTGTGAGCAAATCCTTGCAGAGGACTGCTTGTGCCACCTCCTTCCCCTTCTTCTGCACACCTCTACACTTCTGGGTTGTCCAAATTTTGTGTAGTGGTTCCCATGTTTCATTGCAATAACACACTGCAAAAAAGCATGCAAATGCTTTTACCCCTGCTGTTACAACTGAGGTGTTTTGTAGATTTTGGATTAGGATTGGATGCCTGCTATAGACATCTCCATGTCCGTGCCTTCAGCCGTGTCCAATCAGAGTCAACACAGAGCTGTCCAGTAAGTGGGGGTGAGGGCACAGGCTGTCCAGAGAAGCAGTGGGTGTCACTTCCAGGGTGATCTGTACCCTTCTCTCAGCTCCACTGGCTGCAGCAACCAGCCGCCAACTGGACATAATAGGAGCCTGCATACCAGGCTCACATCATTTAGATGCCTAATTTTAACTGAGTCCTGTCCTTGATCTGTGCAGTGTAGGTGTCTACAGCTGAGCTAGTCACCCTCATTTCCCTTGACAGCCAACAAAGAGAAACAGGCATTTTTAGGGTGTGATTCATTTGACCTATTTTAGCTGCTACTCTAGGATGAGGTAGAACCCTGTGCTCGACTAGCTCTCTGCTGACACCCACTCCTATTCCGCTGAATCACAGCCGGAGCGAGCGGCAGGGGCTGCCAGGGATGGCTGCTCCCCAGCCCGGTCAGTGGGCTGCCTGCTGCCAGAGCCCGGCTTGCTTGCGGAAGGGAGATGCTCGGTGAGGAGGACGTGCAGCCCCCGAGTGCTTCTTCAGCAAGAAGCCCGTGTCTCCATGAACACGCCTGTGCTATGTCCTCCCCCTGGCTCTTCCTAGCCAGCTCATCTCACTGCAATGTGCTACGAGTGGGCCTGGTGCTTACAGCCGCTCGGTGGGAGGACGCAGCCCCGCGGCCCCAGTCTGCAAGCTCCCCACGCGCCCTCCTTTGCAAAGTTTGGTGACTCGCCAGGGAATCGTGCTTCCCCTATTAGCAGAGTGATGGGCACCTCCCTTGGAAACTCACTATTCAGTTTGTAATCCAGAGCCCTTTTCTCTCTGGTCCTTTTAGAAAGCCTGATGTTTGAAGGCTATTCTTGTTATTCAAAAAACAGCTCCAGCTTGTGCTCATTTATTTCCATGCAAGCTTAACATTGCGAAAGTTTTCAGAAAACCTCAGGCTGCTGCCTCTCGTGCAGCAAACCTGCTTGTTGTAGACAGCAGACCAGGCTAGAGGCAAACCATCAAATGGATCTGACTTCAAAGGAGGCCTGATGGCTACCTGTCCCTCACGAACAGATGAGCAGTGATGTGCACATCATCTAGAGCCTGCCTTTTGATTGCACCCTGGTGATGGTGTTAGTATATCCCATTACCCTGATCATCTTCTGTCTTCCATAATTACCATTACTGTAATTAACACAGGTTTGGTCACAGGTTGTTTTCATCTGGCAATCTTAATTTTACCACTAAGAGTGAAAGTGAAATGTTTTCTGCAGATGTGTACGGCTGCATTTTGACAGGAACCATGTAAAGTCCTGAGATAAAATGAAGCAAATGCTGAACTGACGGCCCAGGGTGGCTTACCTCTGCAGTTCCTTGAAAGGGAAGGGCAGGGTCACTGTTGCCTTTTATTTCAGAACATGAGATGAAAACACAACAAACCTTCAACTCCATTTTTATGCCTCCTTGGAAGGAAGGAGGAGCTGAGCCAGAGTTACTGATAGTTTCACCCCACACAGAGCCCCAAGACATGCAGCTTTTAGATGCAATGCTTTCAGTCTGGGACAGGTTGGGAGAGAGAATGGGAGAGACTCGCCCCTGCCCCCGCTTTACTCCCTCCTCTGGGAAATTCCTGCCTCACATAATTTAATTGTGAGCTTTGTCAGTGTTGTGAGTGAGCATTGGTAAGTTTTGCAGAGAGGGAGGCAAAGACATGCCCCGCTTCACAGAGGTGCAATGAGAATGATTTCTGAGCAAAACACATTTAATGTTTCACACATAAACCATCTCTGTAACTTCAGCCAGTGCTAACACCAGTGAGGATCTATAGAAGTTACTCCAGAAGCCTGGCGAATTGAGCAGAGAATAAAAGTGACATTGCCATGGGACTTCAAGCCTGACTCAAGATTGAACAGGCTATTTCAGCCTTTCTGCAGATTAGGGCTAGCAGGAGGCCAATAGTTTTGTGTCCAGCTGTCCAGGGTTTTTCCTTTAAAGGATCCTGCTGGGTCCTGGAGCAGTTTCCTTCTGTTTCCCGAAGGGCAGGGCTATGCAGGTGATGGTGACAATGCACGAGCAGGACCTGCTCCTGCTGCCCTTATGTCTCCCTCTTGCCTTAGCTGTCACCCAGAGCACAGGCTGGGTGGCTTGGCTGGGGCAGAAGGACCATGCTGTCCTCCAGGAGTTGCTGCTTGCAGTGCTCTGCTGATGTCTTGAATGCATCCCTGCAGAAGAACAGAGGTAATCACACGATGCTGTAGCCTGGAGGCTACACACCCGAGAGGGAGCTGCTCTGCTGCTTGTCCAGAGCAGGCCACTATGCAGTGTCCCCCTGCCTTCAAGGAAAAGCAGTGTGCAAAGCTCTTGTCTGAGCTTTTGTGACATGGCCCACGTTCAGCCCTCAATGACTTGAATATTCGACTCGTTCGCTGAGCACATCATTCCTGCTCACGGTGTACTCAGTAGCAGGCCAAATTAGCCACCATCACGAGTACACGCAGCTCCACCAGCTGCTGTAAATGTGCACCTCTTTTTGCCAGGCATGAGTTTGGCTCTGTCATCGTCAGTATAAAATGCAGAAATTAGCTAGTTTCTAACTGTCAGCACCTGGAAGGACAAGCTGACAGCTGCAAATCAAGCTTTACTCTTCTGTCTCTCTCCTAGTGGTAAGCAGTAATGGTCCTCCTGGCAGAGGTTTCTTGCTTATCTGCCCAAGCATGTAGGTGAAAGAATGATGTCCAGTTCATTTTCATGTGGTTGCTCATTGTGTGAGAAGACTCCTGTTGTGAAGATCCCTGGTATGGTGCAGTCAGTCACATAGTTCATGGTGACTACAAGTGCCTTTGGCTATCCCAATGCCACTGGTCATTAGCTGAGCAGACTAACTTTTAGCACTGGTAGGCTATAACCCTTTAGACAGCCCTAATTTGAAGGGAGTGAAGCTTTGCCCATGCATGTTATAGATACCTACTGCTGTTTGCCTGTAACTCTATGTTGTAATTATATACTGTAATGTTATATTTAGTTTTCATAAGAAGACACTAATAGCAGTGGAGGTGTACTGAGAAGCTGAGTCTAGACACATGCAGTACACCAAAATCTTATTTAATACAGACAACCTAAGCTCTCAGCTGAATGCAGGATCATTAACTGCCTCTCAGGCTCTCCAGCACTCGATAGTAGTAGCGCTTTGCAAACGTTAATGTATTTAAGCATCACAAACCCCCTGTGAATTTGTATTTTACAAATGGAGGGCTGCAGGAAGGGAGATGTGAAGCCACAGCTGTCAAAGGCCCACTGGTTGCACTGGTAAACTAGTGACAGCAAGGCCCAGACTTGCAGAAAGCTGATGCCTAAAGGAAAGACAGAGCCCAACTCTCCTTGGGGACATTCAGCTTTCCACCCATAGCAAACCTGCTCTTTCTGCAATTGTTTTTGCCATTCAATAGAAGCCTTGCAGCCTCTGTAAAAATGGCAGGTGGACAGAGAAGTGTCAGTCCATAAGTCCCCACTCAGCCAAAAGAATGTAAGCCCCAAACAAATCCAGGATGTAAGCCCCAAACAAATCCAGCATGCTCCATTGCATGGTGCTTCTCGATGAGGCAACGCTGGGGAAGGGGAGAACAGGGCCTCTAATGATGTTGATATCAATATTGATATTCCAACATACTGACTCCTTCACTCTGTTCATTTATGCGTGTCTGCAGATTACCTGCGTGTTGTGGAAATTCATATGTTCAAGGAGCCCCACGAGATCAACAAGCAGCAGCACCACACTGACAAGTACTACAGCCCCAAGTTGATAGTGCGTCGGGGACAGTCTTTCCAAATCCAGATTGACTTCAGCCGCCCCTACAATCCAGAGACAGACCAAGTCTGGTTGGAGTATTTGATAGGTAAGTGCCTGACAAAGGCTGTGTTGTACCAGCAAAGTAAGGTTGAAGAGTCTCTCATAAACAGTTATGCAGCAGTACTTAATGGCTGGGTCTTTTCCTGTTATGATTGATAAACCGTAAAAACAGGCTTAACCATAGGCAAGGAAGTGCTTTTCTAAACAGGGTCTGAATGCTTACTTGGGAAAGTCAGCAGAAATGCTGTGAGAGAAGAAGGAGCCATATTTGGGGCTTTCTGTTTAGCAAGAAGCTATACTTCATTGAGTGTTCAGAGTTATCTCTGTTAATGTTGTATGGCAGTGCTGAAAGGTAAGTGGAATGGGCAACATGTTTTATCAGTGTTTAGGAGATGAATGGGAGGAGGAGTCTACTGTTTGAGGTGGGAGAGATGACTATGTATGAACTGGGATAACAAAATGTTGAGTACACAAGGGGGAAAAATTATGCAGGGTGGAAGAATAGGAGGGCCTGCAACTTCGCAGTCTGCATTTACAGCCAACTTGGAGTTGTTCAGAAATTGTAGCTTTGAGCCAGGGACTTACTCAGGGCCACATCAGAGGCTTTCTTGATTTACTGCAAAAAGAGCAAGAAAGCCTTTTTCCTCTCACTGACAAGATCTTAATCAGAGACCCAGGTCCTAATGTACCTGTTAGCTCACTGAAGGTATGAGATTGGCGAAGGGCATGACCTTGCTAGAGGTGGGGAAGAGCAAGCGACAGAGTGGGGCTTCCTGCTGTGCTCCAAAGATGGCCCCACTGAACACTGCTCCCTGCATCACAGCTCTGGGAAAGCCCCAGCTTCGTCTAGAGTGATATGGGAGTTTCTGTGTTAAGACGTCAATGTTCCCCTTATAAACTCTTTAAAGTAGGTTTAAATTGATGTTTTAATTTACTTTCCTGAGAGATGCAGTTCCGAAATTTGTAGCATTGATTTTTTTCCACCGTTGAATTATGATGATGTAGACATTTATTAGATTTGTTGCCTTTTAAAGCTAGATGGGTGTTTATCTCTTAAACATATGTGCAGTGAAAAGGTTACTGTCTGCACATTTTTTTTCATGGGTCTCTTCTTTCTAATTTAAATTAGGGTTGGGAGGCATGTTATGACAGTCCAGTGAATGATTGGCTGAACAGCCACAAGTGCCTTTAAAAATTTAATATGCATAAATATCATTAGTTCTTTTGGGATTTAATTAAATTCAAGACTGTTCCCTTAATCTTTATATGTTTAAAACAAACAGCTGTAGTAAGAAGAAGTGGAAAATGGAACATTTGTTTTTTATTGCATTGTGTGCAGTTTGTATTTGTTTTAATCAACTATTCTATATTGGAAGAAGAAAGTTAACACTTCTTTTGACATTGCACAGTCCATTTAAGAGAACATATTCACTTATTTTCCTGTTGCTCTTTCCTAACACATCTGTCCATAGTTTGTACCTGGAATCTCTAAGCATGGATAAAAATCCCCTCATCCTCTGCTATGGTAGGAATGGGGTTAGATGCAGCCCGAGCCAGGGAAGAATTTGCAACAAACTCAGCTCTGAATGATTACTTTGGAGTCAGCCCTGAGTCTGTGGTTGGCTTCTGCTCCCTGTTCTTCACTGTTACTGTCCTTTCTGTGAAATGGGAACAGTAAAGCTGATGTCCCATGTTTGGTGGCTGGCAATCAGCTGAAGGAAAGCGCTGCATATACAGGGTAACACAATGCTGTTGTCCTCCACTGCTTTTTAAGTGTCTGCTTCTGTGAGCACCACTACCCTCTTGCTACAAGGAATTTAGCTCACAGAGATTGAACTGGGAGAAGAGATGTTCAAGCTTCTCTTCTAGGAACTGGTTAATACTCAGTGCTCCATAAATGTTCTCCTTATGCACATGTGGTGAAAACACAGTACTTTGTTCTCAGAGGCTAGCAACGGAAAGCAAAACAAAAACAGTCCACAAAGGAGAAGGAAATTATTCAGAGATGATCTACTTGATTCTTGCTACTTATCCTTTTAGTGGCAAGTCCAATGTTTAATGCCCTGAAAGGGAAAAAGAGGAGATTTCCTGTACTTGGGAAAGGGCACTGAGTGCTCAAGGTTTCAGTGCTGTGCTCTCAAACCTTCTGCCATGGGGAGACATGGCCATTTTCATCTAGGATTTTTCTGTTCGTTTGCCTGAAGAGTGGGCATTCACCTTTCTAATGCCAGCTGCCTGAAAATCAGAGCCAAGTCCAAAATCTGTTGCCTAGGCTGGCTCTGTGAGCAGAGGAGGGAGGCAGGCACCTCCAGGTGGCAGTTTAGCCCTGCTGTCTTAAAACAGGATGAATTATTCTGGTTTTTTTTCTTCCTCCATTGACCCTCTCCCACAGACCAGGCTCTGACTTTAAGATCACCCAAGGCAGGGGAGGCGAATCCTACCCTTCAGTACTGTCAGGCAGAAGCTACGCCTAGGGACTGGCTCAGACAACAGCCATACAGCAGAGCCAGCCTGAGCTCAGAGAAGCTTTTTTGCATTGAAATAAGGGGTATACCTCCTAGGAAAGTGCTGAGTTTGAGAGACTGAAGTGATGGAAACACAGAAATATTGGCAAGTGGTTGTGAAATGACCTTTCCAAGGAGCTATCTGTGTGCCTGAGCAGTAGATTTCAAATGGTGCAGCAGAACTGTAGAATAGCCCCAGGCCGGAGGGACCTCCAGAGGTTTCATGTCCAAGCCCTTGCTCAAATCAGGTCCAGCTTGCTCCGGCTGCTCAGGGGCTTGCCCTAGGAACAGGTTTTAAGTATCTCCAGGGGTGGGGAGGGTACCCCAAGCAATGCGTAACAGGCTGTCCACGAGCTGTAGAATCTCTTGTGTGTTTCAAGGTGCTGTTTTCATAAGGTACAAAGATGCTTTTGTTAGTGACAACTGGCCTTGGCTCCCAGGGAATTCAGCTGGAGCTGAGAAAACTCAATGTCTCTTTTTGCAGGGCTGTGCCTATAGTGAGGGCTGTTTATACAACAGCACTGTACAGAAACTATTAGTGCCCAGCACTGGAAATTTCCCAGCATTGATGTTAATCCATCACAGAATTTTATCCATTAAAGACTAATTTTGCTCCTGAAAAATGTGACAATGGTAATGACTTGATCCTCTGTGTGCATATAACTATGCAGTTTCCTTTATTCCCTAAAATTTGGTTTTACTTCTCTTTTTTCCTCCTATTTTTACTTCTTTTGCATCATTAAAAAGATGATTAACAAAGCAAGTAAAGCAAGTACTCTGCTCAATCCTTCTAATTGATAATGAATCAAGGCTACCTGGGACAAATGCATCTTGCGTCATGTGAAACTAGGTCTGAAACACTCACAGAACAATCTTTAGTAACAATTTTTCTTAATCCACAGTTCATTTGAACACCGTTCACACAATCTAGACTTCATGGGTTAAATTGTGTAAACAGATATATATAAATATACAAATAATTCACCCCAATCTCTTGAAAGTCACTTTTGCTGATATTCTTCTGCAACGGTTCCTTATGACTAAAGTCCTTTTCGCTTTAACAGACTGTTTACCATAGAGTCATCATCAGTGAAACCGGCTGAAGTGCTAACGTGAATTATTCAGTTTTGCACATAATGCTTCATTAAATTAGGTCCATACTTGTCTGCCCAAGTATGGAAAGCAATGAATGTGCCAAAAAATCCACATGGAAAAATACCCACTTATAAAAAGTAATGGGATGTTATTCCAGTTCTTGTGCTGGACTGCAGCTCTGCCTCTGGACATGTGGTTTGAGAACTGCTCCATCACCACATATTTCCTTCCTTGCAGCCCACTTCCTGGCTTTAATGAGAGGAAAGGTGAGCATCACCCTTTGGGGAATACTCATTTTATTGGTCTGGGATTGAGATGAAAGAGCCACAAGAGAAGTGTAGATTCTGTGCTTGCATCCAGTTCCTCACAGAGGGAACAATTTCAGTTTTCTTGGAGCCCCAGGGAGTCCAGAGGAGCCAAGGACTCCTTCACCCATCTTGATCTCTTCTGACTACTGCCTTCATGGTGACAGGGATACTTTGTGCTGCTCTTGGCTTTCCAAAGTGTGGGGCTCAGCCTGGCTGAGCACGGCTCCTGCACCTGGGGCAGCCAGTTAGGCATGAGTGTTGCAAAGTTTCCAGTCACTGCTGCACTGGCAGTGATTTCTTTGAAAAAATAGATGTGTGATTAGATGGGCTTATATGGCCTTCAATCTTGCTTTTAGGAGTAGTTTCCTGTACGTGGCTGTAAATCCTAGAGTGGTTGATGAGTTTATATGGTGCATCCTTACTCTAATGATATATTTCCCCACATCCTCATAAATTGTTGTCTATTTGTATTTTCCTTAAATGGCTTCATAAATCTATATATATTGGTCTAGCCCTAAATATTATTATGAACATTTTATTCATTGGCATACTTCTGGAATGACCATAAATCCCAGTCCTCTACACTACTATCACATTTCCACACGTGTGCATGCGTGGACACCCACACACCTGCCCATATGCACTCTGCAGGCTTCTATAAATCATTGGCCTTTGGCCTGAGATGAGAGCAGAGACTTACAGCTCCTTTTTCTTCCAAGACCTGCTTCAGAGGAATAGTTATAAACACATGAATGCAGCTAAGAACATAAAGATGTTAGAGCTGATCCCTTGTGGCTTGTTTAGATGACACCAAATTCCCACTTATAGTCAGAGGGGCATCTGAGTACAACTAAATAACCAGGGGGCCCGATTCAGGATGTCCATGCCAGAATCAATGGAGCTCTTCATACTGTTCTACAGTGTCCACAGCCTTTCCTTGATTTCACAGCAATACTGGGACATAGGTTATTCCAGGAGGGTTGAGGTTTTGTTTGTTTTGTCAGGCAGTAAATCTTAGTGGGAAGTATCGGTACCCCTCTGCTGTCACCTGTCCTCCTCAGCAGCTCTGGGACAGGGCAGGTGGTAGCTAATGGAGTGGCTGGAATGTGAGGTGTCCCCCCCTGCACCTCAGATAAGAT